GGAGAGCCCGCGGGGGGGGGGGGGGGGGGGCGACATCTACTGTGGACGAGACGGGAGACCTTTCCAAGTACAACTGCGCTGATAAGTGTCAAGGCTGAAAGAGACGATTAACGGATAATTTTGGTGGCTGAAAAAAGCTTTTTGATAAAAGAAAAGAAGGTTAAAAATTTGAAGAAACAGGTGTTTTGTGATCAAAAAAACGATTCGGAAAAATGTTTCAGAAGAAGGGGAAGGTGCGTAAAGAGAGAGAGAGAGAGGGAGGGAGGGAGATGGATAGGTCGGTATGGTTAAGATGTGAGTATAACAAAGGTTGTGTTGGGTGTGGAAGAATGATTATGATAGATTGGATAGGAAGAGGGTGTGAAATAAGAAGTTGATTGGCCGGATTAGGAAATAACAAGTTGGATGAAGTTGTAACTTCTATCTCATTAGAGAGAAACATAACAAAAGCCTGATGAACTATGACTAGGATACCATATCCGGAATAATAATTGTTGATCATTTAACAAGAAAATCAAATCACAAGAAGAGAAGATGAAGCCAACAAGTGGTAAATCGCTATCTCATCAAAAATCTTCTTTTTCCTTTTTTTTCTTTTTTCTTCTTCTTCTCAAAAATGTCATTGTGGCTAACACATCGGAACTTTTTTTGGGTCAAACCGCGGGAAAACAAAGGAACAACTGATGAAGATGACCAATAGCGGGTTAGTCTTCAACATTATCGTCATCTTGGTCATGATTGTCGTGTTAATTGGATGAACAAATCATTCCATTAAGTAAGACTACCACACCCCCCTCTCCCTCTCCTCTCTTCCTCCTATCTCATCCTCTACAATACCAACTCGCCAGCCTTCATTTGCATATCTCACGTGCACATCACGTAAAACGTGGATAAGCGCGCGCGCAGCCTGGCTTCAGTTTTCTTTTCATTTTTGTTACTGAATGACCGGTTGCGCCAAATATGGGTCGGCAGTTCAAAAAGAAAGCGAATAAAAAAGGAAATGCCTCGAAAGCTTCCAAAGGTTCACACAAATCTCATGAACATAAAAGTAAGATAATCGAAAATTCAAATTCATACGATGCATTTTAAGAAGAACGAAAGGAAACGAAGAAAACGAGTCCAAAAACAAAAGCGAAAAGAAACATTTCTTCACCCAGAGAGAATTTTCCCAAAAATGAAAACTATACCATCGTTAAAGAGAATATGAAGACAAGTGAAGAGAAAGATGAGCTACCACCATGTCCACCGACAGTACAGAAGAACATCAATGCTTCATTAGCTCAAACGCTATCTCCGACACCTTTGTCAAAAATGGTCAACACTGTAACGACTGTAAGGAATCAGAATAAACTCGAATTTCATATGAGCTTTGCATGTTTCAGGTGCAGAACCCCTTAGATAGTTTAGAAACTCTCCTTACTCTAGTACAGATGTTCTCGTTCGTCACGTTCTTATTAGAGATGGTCCTTCTCCCTCTCATCATCTACTATACCTATCCATACCTCTATTTCGAGTAAGCACAACCCTTCCATTCATACAGTTAGTTATTCCAGACGTTTTATCGGAATGGCTTACTATATCTATCTGATACTTCCCATTCTTACCATTTTCATTTCTCTGTTCTTCCTGCCGACTCTAGCTTACTCAATCATCTGCCTAAGGTTAGCTTGTCTGAGGTGAATCCATTCAATTCTGTTTGGCAGATTAGAGAAAATGACTGTTCTTCATAAATCTATCATCAAAGTCAATGCTTTCATACAATACTACATTCTGTTATCTTTCCTGTTTGTTGGTAAGTTTGATACTCTTCCTCCCTTCAACGCTTGTCTGTCTCCAGGAATCATGTTTCTAACATTCAACCTTTACCACGATCCAGACAGTTTCGGTGAAGCCATAGAGGCTTCCATCGTAGAATCAAGAAGAGGAAGAGTTGTAAGTTCTCTATTCATGTGATTTATAACAGTGAATCATAAATAGGATATTCATAAACTACAAAGCGAAATGAAGTGTTGTGGAACACGTGTCAAGGGTTTCAAGTTTCATGGTCGACTTCCTTTGCAGAGTTGAGCAACCAAAGTGCTTACAGATATTGCGGTCAATTATGATGAGAATCCGCTGAACGCCTGGTACAAGCATTACAACATGACTGACTACTACATATATGGTAGTGAAATTTCTCACATGAAGGAGAGAGATACTTCAACTTACCCTTTTGCCTTCAACGGAGTTCCAGCCTCATGTTGCAACTTCAATCAAGTCTTCCCAGAATGTGGTCACATATTCTCCCTTGAGGTAGCACCAACCTTTTTCAGTAGGGTAAGGCTTCTTATCCACAATTCAAATATGTCGTTCTGTAGATCAGTCGAGAAACCTCACTTCAAATTCATGTACTACGCTATGATCGCACCGCATCGTCGTTGAATGAGTATGATTGTTCATATGCTCTGACAGATGGAATGAAAAGTATTATGTTTGTTATTGGATGTCTATGTTTACTGTTTGGTAAGTTATCATTAGAATTGACATTATCTCTCTGTTTGCAGCCTTTCTTCACACTGCATGTGCTATAGTCACATCTCTCTTAACAAATGAACTTAACCGAAAACATTTGGGTGAGAAGGAGAAAGAGATAGAAACGCCCAACACACATAAGGTTTTTTAAATGTTATTCATTACAATAATATGGTTATCAAAGCTTGGGGATGCTTTGACTGATCATCGAACTCTGAAGAGAGAGAATACGATAAGTCAAATGGTATCGAATGTGCATGAGATGGCAAAGACAACCCAACATACGCAACTGAAAGAGCAATCAGCAGTAGTTGATGAAGTGAAAGGAGATGATGTAAGCTTGAAGTCCCATATATAGAAAATGTGAAAATAGAATTATTCAAAACTTGTTTAGTAGAATGTAAATAATGAAAATCGTTTAATTGGATAACTTTTATCGGTTTTTTGTATGTCGAGAAACATGATGAAATAGAACATGATGGGGAGTATGGAAAATGAAAAGCAAATCTCCTGCTGTCTGTCCTAAATAAGGAAGACAACATTCTCATTCCAACAAAATCTTTTCATTTTTCCAATTATAGCTGAGCTGATGAGATTTTATCTTTTAATTTTCTGTTTTCTTCTTTCACTTTTACATTTGACAACATCTAAGAAGATATGCAAATCAAAGGTAGCTTCATACATACTCATATCTGGCTTTTCCTCATTTCATTCCTTTCATAGGCTTTTGCTGCTAAGAATCTTCTCACTAATAACATCAATGACTTTGTGGACGATGACAAGATCTTAAGGTTTTTGATCGTTTCATCCTAATTCAAGCTTCATGGTAATACTGTTTAGAAAACCTGTTCAGAAAGTATATTTCTGGCCATCACTTACTGATGGTGAGAAAGGTATACTGAGGGAAGCATTTCATCAGATAGCAAGACGAACTTGCATCAAGTTCCAAGAAGAAGTTCACTCACAACACTCTTAATCCTTGTTAAACAACTGTTACAGGAGTATAAACCATGGTATCATGCCGATCGATGGGATTCAAAACATCCTTACGTCTTGATTCGTAAAAGTGGTAAATACGCAGGTAATTATCTTCATCTAAGACTTTAAAGCCTCTCCATTCTCATTACAAACACAACGTTAACATCTCCCATTCAGCTTATTCGGACAATTCATTGGAGGGTCTGGTTGATAGAACAATCCTCTACATCTCATCAAATGCTTTCAATCAAGAGAATCATAATAACACTCGTGGAGCTGTGATGGATCAGCTAGTTCGCTTTATGGGTATGAATCTATAGACAGAGTCTTATATGATATAATTATAATAATTAAGGTTTAAAGAGAGAAATCTATCGTCCAGATGCTGAATCATTCATTGCACCTCTATAGTATGTTAAGATAGATAGATGATAGATGATATATGAGATGTATTTCAGTCAGTCAATGAAACGAAAGGAATCAACGTTCCATCCTATTCAGTTACAATGGCCTTTTGATCCAGAAAGTATAACAATCCCTGTATGGGCTCGAGAGAGGTATTCTTTTGCTAAGACATTTAACAATAGAAAGATGATTTGTAATATTATTTTTTTATAAAAAAAAGGCAAAACGAAATAACCTGACATCATTCAGAATGAAATTCTTTCAAAGAAATCATGATGAAAGCCTTCTCTTTCATCATCATCTTTCTTTTTCTTTGTACAGTTTTTTTGTTTCTCAACCACTCATTCACAGATATCGTCTAACTCAATACTGTCCAGGAAGGAATGATCCTGATATTGGTGCGGGTCAACGTGTTGGACTTCTAACCCGGTTCTTTACCTCATCACAATACTTATATCATGTTTTACAATGCATTTTATAGATGGGATACAATTAAGCTCAATAGCATGTATTGTCCTAATCAGATAGATGAAGCGGATCCTCGACGTGGCCCATGTGTTGTACCGCGAGCCAAAGACTTGGATGAATTCAATCGACGCGTCTTCGCTTACAAGAGACTTCTGACGAAAGATAAACGCTCAAGAAACTAGAAACTTCATTAAAACATACTTTTGTTTAATAAAAATGTATAATTACCTAATAAATATCTCTATGTTGAAGTTTTATATTCAAAAGATAATGGCAGCCAGACAGGCAGACAGACACATCATCATCATCATCTCCCTCAGACTGTCTGACCTCATTTGAGAAATAGATTTTTGAGTTTTTTCATAAAATAAGATGAGAAATGAGAGTTTTCTCACTTTCTTTCCTTTTTTTTCTTTTTCTACAAAATTACAAAACTTGTACAGTTTTTGAAAAGCCAAAGATGAGCCGTCGCAGTATCTGAACTGTCTTCTGAATCACACCCACGGCCATCTATTGTTACGCGCATACATTCCCACCTGAGGGAATTCCATCTACCTTACTATCACTGAATCATCTTGTATCTTTGAGATTTTTTCTTTATAAAGACTCAAAGAAGACGTTCGCTTCAGTCTTTCTCCAATCTGCTCTTCACACTCCAATGCATCTCACCATACTCTTCTTGTTTTCATTTGTCGTAGGTTCGAGTTCATTCTTGTTACTTCGTTTCAAGTTCATCTTAAGCTTCTCATGCTGCTGCCTTATATCCAGCTAATGTTGTTAACACACCTGTAAGATTCATAAACTTCACTATCATTCCTTAACTGTCAACACTTTCAGTGTGGTTACTGCTACTGCTGTGGGCCTGTAACTTCGCAACAGAATCGTAAGTCCTTACTGAGTTGTATCTAACTTCTGCCATCAATCCATTCAGCTTGTTGTGCTATGGGCTGTGCAAATGGAAACAGATGTCCCACAGTGGTATATTATGAGAGAAGCCTCAATCAGAGGAATTTATTTTTCAGTTCTTCCCAGCTCCTGTGCCCTTGATTGAGACTAACCCTCCGAGCACACAGCTCATCACTGAGACCACAACGGCTCTTGTCCCCACAACACATATCGTTTCTCCACTTGGAGATTTACCTTCTATGCCTTCACCTGTACCTTGGTGAGAATTTAATTTACAACGTACTCTTAACATTATTATTATAGCACAATTGAGACATGGTTAGTGCCTGAGATTCCCACAGCTCTCTCCTATGCTCTGGTTCATGAGTTATCTAATCTTTTCTAATTTCAGTCCTCCATCACCTATTGTTGATCCAATTAACCTTCCACCTAATTCCGAAAACTTTGGAAATCTCCCACAAGGTCCTCCAGTTACTCCTCCTTATCCAAATGTCCAAATCGCTCCAATCAGAACTGCCACAGCAGAAGAGAGTCGTCAAGTGGTAAGAGATTTAGAAAGTTGAGCTATCTCTAACTAATATTCAAGATCCCTTGTGGAAATAACGTCTCCCCATGTGGTAATCCTTGTACCGGAGTTGCTCCATCCGCTCCATGTGGTAATACTCAACAACCTTGCCAAAATCCATGTCAAGTTATTCCTCCTCCCGAAGCTCAGCCATGCTGTTTAGTATACATTAGCCAAGGTAAAGCTCAAGTCTTCTGCGGATGTGATGGAAATGGAGTAAGTTCCGTATGATGTTTCACAAGTTAAATCAATTTAAGACTTGTATCAATAACCCTCAGCAAGTATTCTCTACCTGTAAGCCTAAGGCTGTCATCGACGTCAATATCAAAGGTAATAGAATGCTAGAGAGAGCCTTGAGATATAATTTCTTCCAGAGTCATACATCATTCCATGCTATCAAGCTGTCAGCTTTGGAATCAAGTAAGTCGAAACAATCATAGGAATACTTATCCTTGTATAGGTTGAGCGAAATCGAAGGATGTCCTGCAGATGGTTTGAGTGGAGGTGCTACTGGCTTGACCATCTTCTTGTCAATCGCATTAGCTGCTTTGAGTCTTCTCCTGTGTGATTCATAGAACCTTAGTTTAAAATAATTTATTAAGAATTATATTTACTCGTAATCAGTTAAAGTATCTTCTTTGAAATGAAAAAAAAGAAAAGAAAATTCTCTTTGTTCTCCAAAAAAGGATTGAAAGGGCAAGGAATAATACATGTCAACTAAAGCTTTTGAGTATTGACAGAACAAGATGATATGTCATGAAGTATTGAGACTTATGGTCCAATTGGATCGGCACCGTTGAAAAACGCATAGTTATTAAAGAATTTATGTGATTCAGCATTCTCTCTATGGATTTGGGCATGTTCTTCTTTACTCACACATCCTTCATCACCCTTAATCAAGTTACTCTCATAGATGATTCTTCGAGATCAATCTTACTTGAAATGCCAACCGATGTACATTCTCATCTGAATCACATCCTTCACTGTCATCATCATCCATCACAATAACATTATTCTGAACTTCTTCTACTCTATAATAATAATATATTCGTTTATAACTTCTGCACAACGAGGTGCAAAAACGATGCGAATCACATATAAATCGCGTGAAACATACCGTGACGGGGGGACGCACACGTAATCATAGGCATCTATTGCTCGCCATTCCCGTCCTTCAACACATTCGTTTTGGCCAAACGTACGACTAGAACGAGCTGTTCACATTACGACAGAAGTAAGGTTGTGAAACCTTGTTAAGAAGAATAGATCTCTCTTATGCTGGATTTCAATGTCTTCCTGTGTGACTGTGCGATTGCTGTCTATACAAACGAATGGAACTCCATGAGTTTTCAAATCATCCATATCTTTGTCTAGATCTACTTGGAAGTCGTTCTCAAGACAGAGATTCTGCAATACGAATGCTATAGTATTGAGAGATAGTGGATGAAACAGATGTTACAGGTTGGAATGTGGTAACTATGCGTACATCAGCACTATGCTTCTTATGATTAATTCGCTCAACCTATAAGATGCAATAAACTGGATTATAAACTAATTGAATAACTAACTTTAACACGAATATATTGAAAATCTCCATCTAAACTAGTAGAAATGAATTTGATCCATTCAGTGTCTTCGGTCAATTCATCGTATTCATTCAATGCATGTGTTACAAGTGTTGAATAGTAGGATAATCCTATACGATGAACTTTGTGTATAACTATAGCTCCCTATAAGTACATTATGAGGGCATATTATATCATATAGTTAAGAATTTACTTGCTTAATAGCAGCATCATTACCAACTGGAGTACGATACTCCACTGTGAACACATTGCGAGCATCATCACGGTCATATGGAATATGAACGAGTAGCCAACCATTTGTATGTCGATGAGGGACAGATAACGATGATAACCTCAGAGTATAGTTAGTACGACCATCTCTTGAATTCAAGCTTGTGAATATCATTATTATCAATCAATAAAAGAACCTTCCAAAAAGAGCCATTCGATTCATGGGTAACCATCCTAAGTAATCCAAATGAGGTCCGTTCAAACCAGGACCGCTCAACCCATAGGTTGATGGCCGCATGAATGCATTTGCTGTTGACATCAGATCATAATGATCATCATATTCACCTACAGCTGAATAAGGAAAGACCTCAAAACTGTTCATAAGAATAAATATAAGGGAAAGATACTTTTCGTTGACGATCGCTATAAGAATGACCAATGTTCATACTGTGGATCATTTCGTGAGCGAGTACAGAGGAGAATATGAGCTTAGGAGTAAGTAAGACACCTGAAAGTGAGAAGACAAGTATTCAAGAATGAGAAGGTGATACAAAACCTGTGTCTTTTCCATATACGGCAGTCTGTTCAGTATTGATTACAGTTATTCGCTGTTTATGGATTTGATATCCGTTCTGTTCGGCAAAAGACAAACATAACTGCTTGGCTTTATCATATAACTGAAAGTGCCTTATGAGATGAACAGCCTTGACCAGCTCAATACCGCGAACGGCCTCTCACGATCAGTTTGAAGTCTTGGATCTCTCAGAGCCATTCGGAGAATCTCTTTGCGAGTCCACGGCAGATGAAGCCATTCGGTAACATTGGATCCGCGAATCGTATAGATGGCATTAGAAACAGATGAGAAGTAGCTTTCAATAGTATCTGGAAGCAAGACTATCAGTTATGAAATGCCATCACTATAGAAATACCTGGGTTATTTCCATTCGTCATCCATTCTCGGAACCATTCAGCTGTTCGAGGCTCATAATCAGAATCTCGGAATTTGCAGAGGACAACAGACCTGATCAAAAAATAGAAATGATAATGACGAAAGTTCTAACAAGCTTTACCAGGGTTCATTTCCTCTTCTAGGAATAGCATATGTGGTAACCCACGAAACTAAGAAAATCAACAATTTCATGACATTTCCGTTACTTGCTCTCCTGTTGAAAGGTACGAAATAAGAAATGAGTGAGAGGGAGAGATAATCCGTCAGTGGAAGAGAGAGATAGAGACAGAGGGCTATTCCGAGATTCAATAGAAATAGAAAAGACAGAAATGAAATGGAAAGCAAGAATATATCATTTATAAAGAAAGAGATAGAACTGATGTTGTTTAGAATTGTTTAGAAGCCTAGTGATAGATCTGTCGAGCCATCAAAGGAAGAAGAAAAAAGTCGATTAGTTATCGAATGTATTGGAACAGGCAGGCTGTAAAACGGACATGTTATATCTAATCAGATATGCATTCCTAACCAATATTGGGTTGAGAAGACGATAACAACTACTAGCAGATGAAGACAGACAAGAAACAATCTGGACAGATGACAAACACAACCAAAAAAGGTCGTTGTTGTATGTTACCTCACTCAATATAGGTTTGTGAGTTATTGGGACAACAGATCATCCCTCATTCTATTAGTAGAAAGAAAAAGTTTGAATTTGAATTCGGATAGCAATAAGCATTTGCATTTGAAAACAACAATGAAGATGAAATGAAAAAATGAGTGAAGCGGATATGAGAGGAAGGTGAATAGGTATAGGTGTATGTGGATTGGAATAGATATGCTATGCGGATAGAAGAGGAATAGTGTTAAGATTGAAAATGGTTTTGGATTGATAATGAAAGAGCCACACGGCACATATTACTTAGTGCTCTTGAACAAGTGACTCCGTGAAACGTTGCGACGTATATGCGCGTGGAAAGGAAACGTACGAGAATGAAAGTAGATGGAGTTACGATAAAGCCAATTACAAGTTTTCGTTTAGTCATATTTCAATATATCGAAGCAAAATTCACATGTTAATTTGATCTAAGATATGTTGAGATCTACATATTTCCTCCAAATATGGAGATAGCGATCGGAGAAGCGAACAGAAAAAATGGAATCCAAAAGGCCGAATATCCTTAGATACATTACAGATAAATAGATGAAAACCATTATGTCTTTTCTCTCTTTCTCTTCTTCTTCATCTTCTTCCCATTTTTTATTTTCACTTCACTTTCTATTGCAATCAGCGGTCTAATGAAAGTCAAGCGAACGACAAAAAAACGTTTTCTTGTTATTCCAGCATTCACACACACTCACACACACATACACTTAGATATCTACATCTACATAGACTAGCCAACTCACATGCGTACATACATACGAATGAAACACAACAGCAGCCAAAAAAAAAGTTTATCAAGTATCTCAAGAAAGTGAAACTTCATACGCTCAGTGGGCTTCTTGCCCCAGTATACAATCAAGAGCCAGTTTTCGAGTTCTTTTGACGGTTTTGCCTCTCCACAATCTGCTTGTCATCGCTTATCATTGTCAAAACGTCGGATGAAACTTCTTTTTTTTTCTTTTTTTTTAACGATTCTGATTCAAAATCCCATCTTCTACATAAATATCATGGAATTGGAAGCAATGTGAATACTTGATTTGCAGCCATTTCATTATGTGTCTGTTGAAGAATGAAAGTGAGAAAGCAACCGATCTGCGAGAGAGATTGAAAGTTAAATGATTAGCATAAAGGTCAAGTGCCATGTGCCACGTAACCACGTGACACGTGCCAAGTACATCTTCCATCTGATTACAATGCAATCCATTGCGAAATTGAAATTGAAAACAACAAACGCTTGTTTGTTTTCTTTCTTTCTTCTTTTTTCTTTTTTTTTTATTTTTTTAAAACGTGTTTATTTACAATTGAGATGTTGGAGAATAAAAACTTAAAAGATCCGCTTTTGATTTTTTCGTTTTGACGGTACATGGGTGACAAGCAGCGACGTTGAATTGGCATACGGATCTGTAAGAGAGCAGTATGCTATACTAATAGTTATATTATATTATCAACACTAACTTTTTTTGCAAACTTTATAATAGAAGATGATTGATATTGTCATAGCTAAGGTGAAGATGCCGAATGCCAATGTAATCTGTTCACCAGGATGCATTGCACTGTAATTACCTATATGATATAGTAAGGAAGTGAGAAAGAGAGAGAGAGAGAGAGAGTGAGAGAATCTGGAGCTATTCGACGACGGAACATAAAAGCACAAGGGATGCGAAAGAAAGAATTAAAAATTAATACAAAGTTTTCTTTTGCATAAATCATTTATGGGAAAGGCGTGGAGGAAATTAGCATAAATTAAGATATGCAAGCTTGTCTTACCTTATAGTTTTATAATAACAACTGATGGTTGAATAGACTTGAGTCATAATGGTTTATCAAAAAATGGCGAATCTCATCATCAATTCGTCCTTTGGCATAGATGATGGAGCAAGCAAGAAGACGTTCAACGACTAAGAAGCTTTTCGTTGTGCCCACCACAACCTTTGATCAACAATCAAATGAATTGCGAGACAGTTGTTAGTAAATGAAAAAAAAGGATAAAATAAGGTTATTCTCATAATATTCAAGGACTGAGAGAGAGAGTGTGAGAGAGAGAGTGAAAGAGAGAGAGAGAGAGGGGAGAGAACGAGATAGAGGGAAGAAGGAAAGCAACATGGATGAGCAACTAGAAAACATCAATCAATCGAGCATATGCAAAGTTTTATTAAAGATTATGAAACCATACATCTATATAGAAGCTGGCTATGACTAGCTTCACACTGCTCATCCGAAACAAACAATCGTTCTAAACATCAACAACAAATGAAAATGAATAGTTTCAAGTTGAGATGCCACTGTTCTTCTTCTCAAACACCCGCCAATAATTTAAACAGCGTTTAGAGTTCTCTCGAGTAGAGTAGTACACATGCTGGTGTGAAGACTTCATCATCAAAATTACATTAAAATCAACTTTATTTTTCAAAATATTTTTATTTTGAAACTGAGATTCTTTCATTTATTACATTTAATTAGGTATATACAATGCCTACTGCCTTCTTTCATATTCGAGATCATTGAACTACTTTCCAATGCCAATGCCGAAACCACTTGAAAGTCCAAAACCTCCAATTGGAGTCATAATGCCCAGTTGACGACCAAATCCTTAAGAAACACAATTTGCTAATGTAATGGTGGTTATTTCAATGGTTATGTGATAGGGGCTTCAAAACCACCTATAGTTCAAGAAATATTTTTTTGTTCGCCAAAGCAACCGTTCAAGAGTGACAAAGGAAAGAGATGAAGAGAGGAAATTAAAAGACAACAAGGTCATTTTCGAAAATTCAAGAAACTATTTTTTACTTTGGACATGATTAACTAAAAAAAATTATACCCATATTGAAGAGCCCGCCACCACCATATCCTCCTCCGTATCCGCCATAGCTGGGATAGCCGTATCCGTAACTCGGATAAGAGTATGATGGGTACCTTAAACAAATTGAATCGTAACACGTTTGATACAATTCCTTCCAGCACACAAACACCATATTCCCTAACGAATTAACTTACGAATAATACCCTTGATTATAGTACTGGTGAGGGTATCTGAAGTTATGTTTGAGAATTCGTACATAATTACTTGTTTAAAAATATGAACAAAGTTAACCTGTTATAGTTATTGTAGTTCTGATGGTATGAAGGTTGATGATAGTGCACATGTCTTACTGTTTCGTCAGATGAGGGTCTAAAGGAGTTTTTTGAGCCTTTGGAGAAAAAACAAAAACTTAGCCCCGTAGGGGGCTCGAACCCCTGACCGTTAGATTAAAAGTCTAACGCTCTACCAAACTGAGCTAACGAGGCTACGCAGACAAAATATTTTCAAGTGTATATAACGCTGCTGTCTTGCAAGTGTTCAGTTTAAACTAACCTTGTTCCATATCGTCTTTTATATTTTTCTCGCTGATACTTCCTCCACATGTAATATTCGTAATCTTCGTCTTCCTCTGAAGACCACACAGCCCTTTTTCGACCATTCTATGAATAGAGAGATAGAAGAGTATGACCACGAAGGATTTACTCTCGAAGAAGTCTTGTTCTCAGTCAGGACGGTCTTAAACTGAGCAAACTGTTCTTTTTCCTTCTGATAATCACTTTCTGTGAAAGGCTTCAGACATGACTTAAGCGTAGGTCGCTTTGCACATAATCGATCTGAAAGGTATAGATGATAAGAAAGCGCATTTCGAAATTTTGAAAACTTGAAACAACAAATTGATTCTTAACAGGTTATCAAAACGTGTGAGCCAATCATAATCAAAAAACAATGACGAAATTGGCGAATCATAATGGAATCGTAATGTTATCTTCAGACATACCATGAAAGGATTTGCGTGCTGAATACTCCTCATTAGCAGAGAAGACAGGAGATAAGATGAATGTGATGAGAAGTAAATAATTGATTTTCATTCTGAAATAACAAAAGTTTAACAGATTAAAGTGGTTTCGATAAGAAAGGTTAAGAGATGAGATGCGCTCTGCCATACGTGGGTAGTGCACGTGTGTGTGTGTGTGTGTATGGGGGTAGGAAGGGCAGATGATCATGATCATGAAACTCGATTGACTATGATATTTCGAGATCGTTCAAGAAATACATTTGGAATATAGAGAATGACAGTAAATGACCAGAAGCAAATATATAAATGTACAGGAATAATATAATGGGCAAGACTGAATTGGTAAACCAATTGGACGAATAGACGATCGTCAATATCAAGGACAAAAACGTTTTTCTTTTGATATTTCAACGTCTTCTCTACATTTTCTTTCTTATTTTCTTTGGCAATGCTTCCTTTTTCAATTAGCTTGACAGTTTAGGCAAGAATAGGCTGAAAGATGTAATTCTGACCTTTTTCATGTGACCCTATGCAATCACCGTGCACAAGTTTCAAACACGCATACATACACACGCAGACCGGGTGTCTGGTCACCTGTTTAAAACAGAAAAATGACGTGTGAAAGAGAGAAATAATAGGTTTTGATTGAAACTCGTTTTCAGTGAATTACTTAGTAAAACTTGAACTCTGTTCGTTAACTCATCTTCACAACCACTCGAGAGTATCCAAGTATTTGGGAATTCATTACGATACCAACTACTCAACACAGTTATTCATTCCTATTACTTTCTTTTAATGTGTTTTCTATATTTCACAGTTTAAGATTGAGCCAATATTGACAGAAACAAAATATCTCATGCCTCTGGAAGGTGATAAGCTTCACACAGCAATTCGAAAAAGAAATGCATCTGGGATACGTTTGTTTCGTTTTGCTCATCCTTCTTCACTCATCGACATGCTTCCTGTTGCATCCTCATCGAAAGTAAGTCTTGTCTCAACGTCATATTGTTCCTACTAATTCCTTTGCTTAGACCTGCAACGGTTGAAACTCCGACACTTGACGATGCTCCACCAACAACATCCAGCATTCCAGGTATAACTCACACGCCAATCATCTCTTCACTAATTCATTTTGTTTTTCATTGCAGGAGACTTTGGTGATGGGCATACATATCGCAAGCGCCCATTCTACTATCACCGCTTTCCTCATTTCCCAATCTTACACGAAACGCAGAGCTCCTATTCCAGAAAATTGGATGAAAAGAACTATACATAACGAATTTCATTATACTTATGCAAATGACACGTCAAAACCACGTGGAAAGTAATAATTTCATTTTGGGAGAATCAAATCGGTTGTAACCGGCTGTGCTTCATTACGTTTTATAAATAAACAAATAAATTGAAAGACATCAATAAATACAAAAAATGATATGAGAATACATCCAAATGTACTTTACAATTTCTTTTTCTTCCTCGTCGAATCTTCTAAATAACAATGTCGTTAGGTGTGGGCGAGTGTAATGACTACTACTTACTATATGGCATTTCCGTTAACTTATAATATGTGACAACTGATATAGTAAAGATGATTGTGAATCCCAACATCCAGAATGTGAATATCTCCCCTGATTGGAATTGTGGTATCTATTCAATAAACGAATTTACATTACAAATGAGTCTTGAACACTTACTGCATGACTTGCAATCACCATAGTATCACAACGTTAATGAGAAAGATAGAAACTAGAACAATCACTTCTCTGTTTCCTTATGCACAAGACAATGTATTAAGGTATGAGTAAAGGAAAGTCAATGAATGTTCCGGAAAATGGAAAACATTTGAAGCTTTCGGTTAGGCGTACAGCGCCAACTGCTTTCTTCAGTTGCACATATTGATTTCTCTGGCTTCTCTGCGCTCTCTTCACTAAATGTGTTATGCATTCGTTGCTTCCTCTCATAAGATACATATGGTTTGAGATTGTAACATGTAGTTGAGCAATCAGAATTTCGAAACCACATAACTGATTATTCTTGCGTTGCGCATGTAGCCTCGTTAGCTCAGTTTGGTAGAGCGTTAGACTTTTAATCTAACGGT